CTCAGGCCAAAATTTAATCCAATTGACAAAATCTGTTTAGAAATGATGGTGTTTAGGAGAAGGGAAGAAGTTTTTTCTTTCTTACAACCAGAGTTCCTGTCAGATTCCCTGGCCAGAGAGCTGCTTCTGATTCCCAAGTTTGGCATTTTCATGGATATAGCATCACTTGAAGCTTCAGCCTTAGAGGGCTAATAACAGCTCAGTGCTTCTCTATTCAATTCCCTTGAAACAACATGAAATAATAAAGTATACTATTTGTATTATTTTCAGGAAGCCTGATGGAATTGGATGAAAAGGATATTAATATCTCTATTCTTATTTTCCCCCAAGCTAACTATTATATCCTTTCAGATGAAGAGCCTAGGAATTCTCCATTTTTCAAAAATTTGCTTCAAAAGCTTCTCTTCTTACCCCTCCTAATTTTTTTTCAAAGACATTGTCCTTTCCTCCTGCAAAGAACTGTCCTTAAAGTCCCTTTCTACCTATTGGTAAAATGCAGATAAAAAAGGAATCATGGAAACAGTAAGGTCAGTAAAGAAAAACTGATTCCACACTTACATTGGGGGAAAAAGTTTTCCTCTAAAATTTTATACCCATCACCCTGCTCCAACTAAAAGATATAATTTGTATTAAACCAACCTTCTTCGTGGGATCTAATCTAATCTGAATTGCCATCAAGTGGAACTCAGGCAGCCTGCCTTCTTGGCAGTAGCCCCTACTGTTTGGAATATTCTTACTCAAGGTCAGGCAGAACGTTACCTTTCCAAAAAAGCCTTGAAGATCTGACTTTCCCCCCAAACACTGAGAATATGCGGCTAGAAGCCAAGAAAATTGTCTATTGGATATGAGAATACTGAGAGTTTTTATGTTGTTTTTTTGCTTTTTTTTTGCTTATTGTTTGTAAACCACTCTGGGTTATGATATGCAAGAAAGGTAGTTATATTGATCTTTAAATCAGGGGTTGCCAACGTTTTGGACCTCAGGGACCACCAAACTCATAATTTTAAATCCCGTGGACCAGAGACCTTGGGAAAATCCCCCCAAAAGTCTGCAGAAAATGCCCCACCCCATTTTCCTACCAATTGATCATTCTTTATTTGGGATCGAAGGGTACCATCTCCAGCTCCATTCTCTCAGAGGGTGGGGGGGAGGGGGGAGAGAGAGAGAGACACACACACACACACACACACACCTTTGGCTTCATGCAAGGAAAGTAGCAGAAGCAACAGAAGTCTTTCTTTCTCTCCCTCAAACTCTGCCAGAAATGAGTCTTTGCCGGCACAGCCTCTTGGAGCAGGATGGCTTGCAGGGTCCCAAAGACTCTTTTCTGGTGGAGTTTGGGGGAGAGAGAGACAGACTGTTGCTACTTTCCTTGCATGCAGCCAAAAGCAGAAGAAGAAAGAAGCGGAAAGAAGCAGCCCAGTGGCCAGGCCAGGCGCGTGGGGCAAGTTTCCCTCTCCGCCCTTTCCCCTCACTACTTCATGTGGGCAGCGCAGCCTTGTGTTCCCGCACAGCCTGGATTAATTGCTTTGGGAAGTACTTTGGGGTGACATTTCTCTGCGGACCACCAAAATTTTCTCGCGGACCACCAGCTCGCTGGTTGGTGACCATTGCTTTAAATAAATAAATAAAGTTTTAGATAGAAAAGAACATTAATCTAGCTTCTCCTATTTTTTCTCAGAAAAAAAAAATCTATTTGTAACACAGGCAATACAAGCAATCTCATTATAATATTACTCCTACATTCAACTAGGTAAATCAGAAATTGGAAATCAAGCATAAATAAGTGAATGCAATACAACTGCAGTGCTTTTATTTTGAAAGTGGCTCCCCCACCACAATTTAGGCATACGCATATATGGCTATGCACCTTCACAGCCTTATGTCAACAGTCATGGTTTATCATATGGCCCTTGGGAAAATTAATTGCCCAATGCCTACCCGTGTTATGGTCTCCCAACTGAATCCTTAAATCAGAAGTGGAAGAGGCAGACCTGACAGACTGGCAGCCTGAAATGTCAGCAGTCAATGAGACACCTGTAGTCACTGAGACTAAGCAGCTGAAATCTCACTTACATAATGAGGGGCTAGATTTTGGGAGGACGCTAGTCCAAGAACCTATTAGAAGCAACAAAGGCTGAGACACAGAGATCAACACACCACATGAGAGGAGAGGATAGCAACACCTTTAATCAAGTTGATCACCACCTCCTCCGTTGTCCTCTGTTGAAATAACTTTCAGCCCTGGGTTTTTGCTAGTCTTGTTCCTTGCCCTATATTTAAATCCATGGCCCGACATTTCAATTGGCTGGTTGAATTCTCTGGTGTTCCTACCCTGAACTGTAAGAGACAACATTTGTATTTCAACCTCTGCCTTTGTCCTGCTGACAACTGAAATCTGAAGGCGAGACATTGGGCTCTGGCAAATCGCTCACTCAGTTACCAGCTGTTATCAGGAAGTTTATAACATGGCAGTAAAGCCTTTCAAACCTGTAATTGCCTGGTATTTTGTTTTGCACTGTCTGGCAGAGGATATAGCCAGGGGAGACAAAAGTGATCACCATGATGGTCCCATAAATATGTGGATTTTGAGCTTGAAACCAACACCATACCTAGGACTGTTGACGCAAACAAGTTTCATTTTGCCTGGAAGGAATGTCAGTGGTTCTGGGCACTCCATGATTGAACTTTAGAAATATCCAGTCTGTATCAGGATTCTGAAACCAGTGTGGATTTTTCAGCACTATCAGAATGCCTAAATATTGGTGAGTTACACTGCAAATCTGGGCTCTGCTTCATTTCCTGTCAGCCCTCCTTGAGAGCTCTTGATGATGACAATAATAACTGCATCATTTCCTGGCATGGATTCTGTTCAGGAGGAGTCAGGACTTTTGCTGGCAAACTGCCCCATGATTTTGGTATTGTACTGATGTTTCGGGAGGAAACCATTTTATCTGAGTACTTCTGTGAAATACCAGACTCTGCATGGTAAGCAAATGCTCAATGTGTAATTATGCTACTCTTCATTACGAAGGATGGAGTTTTGTCGGCCTTCAGAATAAGGAGTGAATAATTATGTCTCTTCACCTACTCAAGCCCATAACTCCATCGGTTTCTAGGTAGACTTCAGCTGTGCTTGTCCCATAACTCACTGCCCTCATTCTTTAAACTACTCTCATTCCATCCAGTACCCGAAAGCTTACTCTTACTTTCTACCAGTCCCTGGAACCATGCAGTGTACACTTACAGTCAATGCTTGCCGTGCCATTGCTGATGGATCTCACAGGTGTCACTTGGAAGATAGAATCCTCCAAATTAACTTTCTGTTGAGCCATGAATTTAGCAGCTATCCAAGTAAGGATCAGCCTAGGTCAGTCAGAGAACTATCCACTTGATTATCCCCTAATCACAAACCTTATAAAGAAGTCTACCCTGGCTCAATGATGGGACAATCTTGTGGTCTCATAAATATACATAGTTAACTCTGATGGTTAGAAATATGCTTAACAATCCGCATATTTTTCAGGCAATAAGGCTAATGCTCAATGCTAGATTATTATTGCTGTTGTGATAGCAGCTTCCGCAGGGTCTTCAGGGTCTTCAACTACAAGTAGTTGTTTATATTTTCATTATTCCTGCCTTGGGAAATTCTAGTTCTCAACCACTTCCTGCACCAAAGATCAAATTATTATTATGTTATGTGCATCCTAAAGACAAGCAGCCACATGCTATGAATGAGGAACAATGGGGCACCTGCCACCGGCAAGGTAAGCAAAGGTGTTTAAAAACATGCCTGCCAAATGTTGGAAATGTAATCAAATACCAGGCACGTATTATCACATGTGGTGGACATGTCCAAAAGCAAAAGAAATTGGATGAAAATGCATACGTGATTAGAAAAATGTTAAAACAACATATTGATTATGTCATGCCCCCATTGAATCTGAGTAGGAAGACAAACAGCTATCAGAGAGTGAGGGAGTGGCTCCATTGGCTATGGAGGAAACCGGGGAAGGGCAAAGTCAGGCTGGGCAGAGCAGGGAAGAGGTAGAACAAGGGAGAGGGAATTCAAAGGAAGACCAAGGCCCACCCCCTCTTCATCCTAGGGCACGCAGGGAAGAACGGAGAAGAGAGCAACGTGGGTTGCATGGCTTACGAGAAAGGAAAGGGCCCTGATTCCCTTCACAAGGCACACCTGGGAAGGGAGTTTAAAGGAGAACCAGTTGGGAGGGGTGTTTGTCAAGAACAAACATTGAGTTTTTCTTGTGTTGGCTGCTGTTATGAGTTCCTGGCATCCTCCCAACTGGTTTGATTTACTACCTTGTTACTTCATTTCTGGAACTTCGTATCTTGTTCTGCTGGATTTATTACCTTCTTTTGCCTTGTTGGATTTATAGTTTAACGTTTTCAGTTTACAACATTTGAACTGGAATATCTGCAGCCAAAGGTTGGTGCAGGTTCGTGGGAGAGTTTTTCTCTAGACTCGAAGGTAACCAGTCATTAGGGGCAAAGTTGGAGCTAATAAAGGGGCCTCTACTTATTTTCTGGCTGTGTTGCCTTTGTGCCATGCCCTAGGTCATCACAGATTATAAACCAGAATTATTTTTGTTAGGCATATTATCAGAAAAATATGATAAATGAAATGTATATTTAATATTACATGTTTTGACAGCAGCAAAAATTATATTTGCACAGCACTGGAAAAATAAGGAAACACCTACAGAAGATATAATTACAAAAAAATACTAGACTGTGCAGAAATGGACAGATTGACACTGAAGATAAAAGAAAAAGAAGACGCAAAATATTTTTGAACATGGGACTTATTTTACCAATGGTTGGCTAACAGGTAGAAATCGGGAACTGGGAAAATAGTATTATATAAACAATCGACACAGATAAGACACTGTTCATGAAGCACTTATGTATGTAAAGAGAAAAATATATAAATAAACTGTATAAAAAAAAGAAAATACACTATCAAACAAATGTCTACTTACCAGCCAGAGTAGCCCAGTAATCCACACTGGCCGCATACATCTACTTCGAATGCATCGCTTGAAATCATAAGCCTCTCCAACAACAGCATGCTGGCTCCATATCCTATCAAGCAATCTCTTTCCATTTCTCCCAGACGCAGTCCTCCATCACGGGATCGGCCTTCAGTGGGCTGCCTTTAAATCAAGAAGTTTGTAATTATTTTATTTGTGCAGTTACACGTGCAGTTACGATTCAGTAGTGAGTATAAAGGTAGCTCTCGACTTGCAACCATTCTTTTAGTGACTATTTGAAGTTACAACGGCAGTGAAAAAAGTGATCTACGACTGTTTTTCACACTTATGAACCATGGCCACGTGATCAGAATTTGGCTGCTTGGCAACTGGCATGCATTTTTGACAGTCACACTATCCTGGGATCGTGTGATCACCATTCGTAACCTGTTGCTGGAGAGGCTTATGATTTCAAGCAATGCATTCCAGCAGGCTTCTGGCAAGCAAAGTCAATAGGGGAAGCCAGATTTGCTTAATGACCCCATGATTCACTTAAGAACTGCAATGATTTCCTTAACAAAGGTGGCAGAAAGATTGTAAAATGGGAAACAGTTAACAACTTCCATGCTTAGCAATGGAAATTTTGGGCTCAACTGTGGTTGTAAGTTGAGGATTACCTTTATAAATTGCCTCTTTCCTTCAATTAGCTAAGGATCCAGCAGTAGAAATAGAAGAAGCATCTGATCGTCTACATACAATGCAAAACAGAATACGTTCTTCTGCATTATTTATTTGAAATATTCAATCAGTGTATATTGGAGTGGTGCAGTGGCTTAGAGGTGGAGCTCTCGCCCACAATCAGGAGGCTGTGAGTTCGATCCTAGGTAGAGGTAGATATTTCTCTCTCTGGGCACAATGAGAATGTATCTGCTGAACAAAAACTCCGCATTGGTGACAGGAAGGGCATCCAGCTAGTAAACACCCTGCTAGCTCCATTCAGTTACCCAGACTCCACCCTGCAGGGATTATGGGGTTATTAAAAGATGATGATTATGATTCATTCAGTGTATATATTATTTAAAGCAACTAGAATATAATGTAATATTTAGTTTTTAAGGGTGAGGAGAACCAACTTCAAGTCCAACCTCAGTTTGAAGCTTCCTGGATGGCACTTGGTCTCACTCTGAGCTCTTCTTTTGTAACAGACATTTGCTCTGAAGGAAACTGGAATTAAGCTTAAGTGGAAGTAGAAGACATGAATCTAAGAAATAATAGTAACCACCTCCAATATAATTGAAAACAATTTGGAATATATGTGAAAAATGTGCACTGGTATAACAGCTGAAACACAGTAGCAATCTCAATTCAGTGGCTTTCTTTACATCATTAGATATTATTCATTTTGTACAATTGTGTCCTTGTTTCCCTCATACCTGGTAAGAACTGCTCTGGGTCCTCTAGCTCTTGCATGCATCTTATCCAGCACCATGTGCTTCAGTTTCTGATAATACACAGGGCCAAAATAGATATAGGCTTCTAAGGGTTCTCTGAGAAGGAAATTAAATAAAAGCAGAGAAAACTGTAAAAATATACATATCAGAATTACATTTTTTTAATAAAAATACATGACTTCCTTTTTTTTAATAAATTTTATTAAGTTTCCAAATTTTAAAAACATAAAATAAAACTTTATACATTGTTATCAACATCAAGACATCTTTTGCATCTCCTCACATTTTTCAGTATATGTATTTACTTATTCCTTTACCATTACATCTTACTCTTACTATAAATCAATTTCTTTTATCCTTACATCTCAATCTTCTCCATGTACATTTACATATTCCCTCATTCTTTTCCTAATTTCCATTAAAAAAAAAAAAAATACATGACTTTCATATAACCAGAATACAGAATAATGGTGTTACATATGGAAAAATTGCATAGTAGACAACTTGGTTTTTTTCTTCATTCTTAGCAAAATCCCATCCTCACAGAAGCCAAAACTATAACTGTTACTCAACTGAGAAAAAAAAAAACAAGTATCTGATAAAAGGTGAATATCGTTATCTGAAAAAAAAAAAAAAAAAAAAAAGACTAGTTCAGTTCCTTTTTCTTTCTTTTTTTTTTTACATGAAGGAAATTCCTGGAAAAGGACATTTAGTGTAGCTACCAAGGTGGAGGGCCTGAAAATGGGGCCACCAGAAGTAAAAAGAAGTGGAGAAATGTAGCAGAGGTGATGGCAAACAATGTTAAGTAACAACAGAAGCAGCAATGGGGACAAATTCAATTGTCCCTCTTCCTTCTTCCCATGACTATGGGATGCGGTGCAAATTCCCTCCCTCCCTTTTTGTGACCACCAAGTCTTCTATTTTCTTAAAAAGTTTATTTATTTTTTTAAAAGGGATCTGTTTTACTGACTTGCACACAGAAGTATAATATAGCGGTGGACAACCTGAGCTCTGAGGGAAGCATCTAATATTCAACCTCCTGATCAACCTTACTGCAAATCAGTGGCACCCTTCTATGGTAGGAATCACACAAAAATGTAGCTTAAGGCCTTAAAATAGAATTTTGTTTAACTAAAAGGAAGCCACCTGCTGCTGGGGACTGAAAATTGCTAACGTAAGAGGGAGAACTAGCAGTCTTTAACAAACAAAGGCAAATTACAGACGTTCGTTAAATATGTTGAGCATCTCAATGCACTGGGTCTGGAAAATCATGTCAGCTTTTTTGTTGTTGTTGAAAAAAAATGTTTATTTTCCTTAAATTTGATTTAAGATAAAAAAAATCCTCCATACTTGGAATAAGTTAGTGTCAATGGTATGTTGGTTTTGGGATAGGAGGGAATAAGAAATTAAAAATCAGAATTAAGATAAAGACACATTGTCATATGGGTCTATCCTGTTCTTAAGTCATCTCATATTCCTTTGAACACCACATCTCTGAAGATAGTTTAATCAACACAGCAGGAATCTCAGAGATCAGTCAGCTCTGCCAGACTGACTCAATAATTGACAAAAGCTCCAGAGAAAAAAAGCCCCAGTTGATTAACACCTGCCTCCAATACTGTATTTTATATGACTTTATACAATAGAAGGCTACTAAACGCCTTCTATGAGCACACAAAATGTCTGCCTAGGGCCTTAAAAGATATCATTAGCAAAATATTATTAGCAAACAAGACTTTCCAACAAGGGAAAATTGTTTTCTGTTTTGTTTCTGGGATGATTTGGGGATTAAGGGGTTAAAAAAACCCTTTTTGAAATCATTCATATAAAATTTAGTACACATTATCATTACATATATTTTCAACACACGAATATGCATTAAAAACTGGAACTGCTATGTTTCCCAATACCCTTTTAAGGTCCTCTTACCCTGTGATGCCAGATGTTACGTAATCCTTCCCCAAATAGTTATAGCCATAACGAACAAGATCTTCACATACATCTTTAACTTTACTGCCACCGAATGCTGTTCCATAATGAAATCTGCCATCTAGGACTCCAGCTTTTCCTGCCAGAAGTTCAATGAGCTTTCCTACCTGGGCAACACAGTGATAATGTCTCACCACAAGCAATCTGTGATAAGGAAGCGAAGTGTTGTTCTTAAGGTACAACAGAAGAACGGAAGTGTTGAATTTAAGGTAGCTTAGCTCTTGGTGTATGTTTAGTCAATGCCAGAGAGAACATTTGGTCTGACCAAGGTGGTGCTGACAGACTACACTGTTCTATTTAACTAATTAATTCATCATCTTGTATTCTTTTATTCTATTTCCACATAGTTTTATCCATTCTCCTTGGGCAATATAACTAAGGAAGTTTCTTTCCTGAGCTTGCTACAAGTTGATGATGATGATGATGTACAAATAGTTATATTTCTTTATCATTTTAAGAAAAGGAGTATAGAATCAGTGAGCTAAAGCAAAATTATGAACCGGGGTTGATCAACCAAGACAGGCAACAAGAAACCAATGTTTTATAAGCAACAAATTGAATTAGGTAGAAGACAATTAACAAAGGCTATGTAATGCAGAGTCCAACACATTTATGTTTGATCATGCTGGCAGTAACTAAGAGAAGCACAGATTCATTTATACCAGATTCTTCACTAAAGCAGCTTCCCACTGTTTTATGAGGATATACACTACTGATAAATAATGAATAAAAAGGACCCAATAGATAAGCATAAACCTGGAAAATATTCGGCAAGCCAGTTTCTTTCAGCGTATAGGAAAGCAGAGGCTTTCAAGATATATAATGGACCGCATATTTGTTCTACCCTATGAAGAATTATGTAGAATTTGGGAATTGTCATTGCCAATAACAAATCTATTAAAAAAGATAAAATCTTAGCATTAAAAAAATCCATTAAAATGAAATGCATATAAATGTATGCTGTTACATACCGTCATACGTGACGGGAAGCCATGGGGATTCATAATGATATCAGGACAGATTCCTGAATCACAAAATGGCATGTCTTCCTGAGGTACAATCAGTCCACAGACTCCTAGAACAGAGTGCATTTTTCAAGTAAAGCAAAGAATTCATACTGTACATCAGATCAATAGCATATATTATGTTTTTATGTAGTCCAATTCCTATCCTGAATGAAGAATTACTGGACAAATGTTAAGTTTTATGTTGGAAAATAGTGTTAAAATATTTCTTACAAAAATACTCTTACGCACATGAAGTCTGCGTAACCTAGAGCAGTGATGGAACCTTTTTGTTGTGGTGTGCTGAAAGCACGTGCACGTGCGATAGTGCACATGTACCGGCACCCACAATGCAATGCACCTCCCCACACATGTGCACAACCCGTTACCTGCACTGCACATGTGCACACCTCCCAGCTGATTTTCAGCCTGTTTGGAGGCCGAAACCGGAAGTGATGAAACGGGCCTGTTTTTCAGCCTCCAAAGGTTGCAGAGGCTTCCCTTGAGCCCCTGGGAGGGTGAAAAAGGCCTCAAACGGGCTGAAAATCAGCTGGGACGCACGCACATACGCAATGCAGGTAAGTTTGGCTGGGGCTCGCGTGCCTGCACAAATGGCTCTGTGTGCCACCTGTGGCACGTGTGCCATAGGTTTGCCATCACGGACCTAGAGAAAACAGTAGTCATAATGAGCTGACTAAGTCAACTAACTGCCTTACTTTTGAAGGGAAAGAAGGATAGTATAGTGATCATGGAGCTTGGTCAGAACATAAACCAAAGAACTAAGCTCACAGGGAGTAGGGAGAATAGATCGAAACAAGATTAAAAAAAATATTTAGTGGTTAGATTGATAGCCTGTCTTTTTTACTCAAGGCAGCTTATATGGTTATTTTCCTTCATTTTTAACCTCCCAATAGAGACTGTGACTGGCCTTAAGACACCCAGTGGGCTTCCATGCTTAAGAGTGAACTTGGAACCAAGGTCACCCAGTTCTTCTCTAATACCTTAACCTGTCTATGCAATCTGCACAATTTAATTCATAAGTAGTGATTCACACTTTAGTTTGGTAAGATTGAATTGTCAAAATAGTTGGAACCCATATTTCAAAAGGAGCAACTGAGCTACCATGAGGTTTAATAAGTACAAATAGATAAATGGTTAGTGTATAAAAATAACTGGCCATGGAGAAAATGCATGTAGTCCATGATAGGAAACTGGCTATTTCCAGCAAACATACAAAGTATTATGCACACACACATACACATAGATACAGGGGATGTTTACCAAGATAATTGGTTCTTATGTATATCAAGTATTCAACACCTGCTTCACACACCCACTATTTATTTATTTTTAACACATAGATTGGTCAAGCTTTGGTCAAATCTACACGTTTCCCTCCTCTAGGAACTTGCTTGGTGTTATTATGCTGAAAGGGCACCTAGAAGGCAAAAATTAAATCTGGGCTAACTTAAAATTACTTCAGGCACTGAAACCCTTTTATATGCCAAGACGGTTCCCATAGCAGACATCCACTGTGTTGTTTGTTTTGTGTGAAAGTGAATGATAAAAGATCCATGAAATCGACACAGAAAGGCAGAACAGCAGAAAGAACAGAGGCCTCTCCATCATAGCAGCTTCTACCCTTTGCTGACTTGTATAACAATGGAATCGAGACGTCCAACTGCAGATCTAACACAGCTGTGCATTTCATTAGATGAAGAGCACTAGTGACACAAGTAAATAATTAACTTATTCTGGTCCGCTGACTGTGCTTATGAGACCAGTCATAGCTGACAGATTTTAATACAAGTTAAACACAAAGAAAGCATAATGAGATTAGACGTTAAAACAAAATATTTAGAAAGTCTTGCGGCAGAAAAGAAACCACTACTTTTACAAGACATCTTTAAAAGTTCCTATTTCCAGAATCAAGTTAAAATTCTTAATTCTAATCAAACTCTAAAAAGCTGATCCATTGAAACGTAACAAAACATACATATTTATAAAGAACTGAGCAACAGCACTTCTGCTTTTTTGTTTCTAGAATGTTAACAATATTTTTGTTTCTAGAATGTTAACAATGTTTACTTCAATATTAAGTTAAAATGTTATTTTAAACTACTGGGTTTACATGTTACTTTATACTAAAGGCTTTCTAATACAGCAAAATAATACATCCTTTTCAAATTCTACAACAAAAGTCAAAGGTGTTGAGACACAAAAACTACTCTGTGCATATGAGTGTTTAAAGAATTATTCCACTACCTAAATAAATATACATACATACAGACCTTTGAATATGTACAAAAAATAGCTAAAGGAGACAACTATTATATTTCAAAAACAAAGTTTTAGATTGCAACACTACCTTTCAGTGTTTTGGAAGTAAATTCTTTTCAAAACCAATGGCATGTAATTTTAAGCACACATGCATACAATCAAAAATAAAATCAGGTTTATATGAAGGTACACCACATTTCTATTTCAATATAATGCTTGTTATAGACTAGAGTACCATATCAATAGATCTTATATATTTTGCATGCCCCTGATTTCTGATGAAGGTACCTACTTTTTTCCAGGAGCACAGAATTAAGATCTATGTTTTGACAAATAAATCTTCGTGTAACAAACTTTATGAATATTTGCCCCCATTCCAACTATTTCAACAAAGGAGTACTGATGAAAATCAGAACAGGTTATTTGACTATTAACACAAAATAGCAAAATTTGAAACACACTTTTAAATTAAGAATATTTTGACATTTTTTTATGAAGAGGGTTCTTCATTTGTCCTTTTTACTGCTCTCAAGGATAGATGATTTTGTGCAATTAAATAGTAACTCACAGAGATTTGAAACATTATCCTGACTCATAGGGAAAAGTTATTTAAATCAAGGACAATCATCAATCTTGGAACTTCTGAACTGACATTGGTGAATATGTGGCTAGGATAATTGTCTTATTAAACAATCCCCTATATTTAAATGTGCTGCTCTTCAGATCCAATACAGAAGAGATATTTTCAAAGGTGATGTAGCTTAAGGAAACCATCTCTTTTCCTGGTCTGTAGACACACTATCATAAGAGATGGCACGAAGATGCCTTGATCTTGTCATACTCTGACAGCCTCTCCATTTTTCAAAGGTACACCTTACTGGAATTATGTAGTTCTTGGAAAAAAAGTAGTTCTTTTTAAAGAAAGGTACAGAAAAAATGACCCCTCTTCAAAGTACCTTTTCTGTTCTGCATCAGAAAAGCTGCACATCATTACTCATACAAAGTTGTTAATTCAGAGTCTGGTTTGGGATAGTGTATGTGAAGTTCTGGTTTTTCAAGCCTAAATATTCTGATGTTCTGCAAAAGGTTTGTAATTTTTCCCATGTGTAAAATCCAAAATTAGTTAATGTTTATAATGTTTCTTTTTTAGCTGTTAAAATCTGTACTACCCTGTAACCATGCAAAAAGGCAGCAAGAACAAACTGATACCCATGGAACTAAATAGTAGGGTACTTAAAATTCAGAAAGACAAATAATCCTATGACATTTAAACCCTGATTAAGCCCCACAGTATAAAGAATGTAGGCCAGGCCACAATTAAAAGATCAGAAGCCACAGCTGCAGTATTATCAGTTTCTACTGAAAAGATTAAAAATAGAACTTGCCATTAGGACAGTATCTTCTAGATATTTAGTGTAATTTTAAAACTTTATGTACCATCTTCAACAGAAGATCTTTTATTACATGGAATTTACACTGCATCTCACACTATTCTGTTCTTAAAATTCTGCAGCATGAGATCCTCAAATGCTTTTAACTTAATATGCAGATATTCATATATTTTAAAATATTTTAAAACATATTTCTTAGTAATTTATTAATTCCAATTAGTATTAAGTTCATGATAATCTTAATAACTACTCTCCCTTTTTTACTTCCATTAATTTAGAGCAGTATAGATGTATTTATGGAATACAGTTTATTGCCATATTGAGTGGGGGAATGGTTTTCCAGGTAGTGGAAACTTTTTGCCAATATGGATAAATTCCCCTAACAGAAAACAATTGATATCCAATAGTGAATAATTTGCAGTTCTGTCATCTCATTGGGCAGATTTTAGATAAACAGAACAAAATTTAACCAATAAATACATAAGCAACTTGATTAGCCTCTTTATTAAAACCATTCCAAGTTAGAGGCGGCGCTAAAAGACAATACCTCTTATAGTTTGGTTTCCCATGAGCTGCTGAATGGTCTAATGTGATAAATTTGCATAGTCTGAAGGACAAAAAGAACTGATTAACTGAAAATTTTACAATGCTCCTATAGAAGCAGTTACTATATGTAAAACAGTAGAGGTACTTTAATATATATATATATATGGAACTTAATCATGAGCCTTCAGAAAAAATTGGTTTTAAAATTTAAGCAAAAGTATGAGCTTTTTATCCTAAAATAAATTGTAGGAAGGGGAAAAGTAGAGGGGGTAATTACTGAAAAGGATCACAAGGTTACCTGTTTGCTTCTTTAGTCAAAATGCTCATTTGATGTTAGAATAATAAGTTAAATACCTTGTTAAAGAAAACATAACAAAAAGCTTGAAGGTTTTGGGCTGTTGTTTTTTAAAGTGGACTTGCTTTAAATTGGCAAAGAGTAAATTAAAAAGAATGAATGATATTTGGTTACATATTAATTCAGTATGATTTTGTAAGGCCTTTATGAAATGTAACCCGATTCAAGATTTTGGAATGATCTTGGGTAGCCAAGAACCAAAATAGAATTGCATCTTTCTGTGAATGTAGTTAAAACTATTTGTTCATCATTTCTTCACTTGCATGCATTGTTAAACTGTGAAAAGATGTAATTATGTCTACCAGTATAGAATAAAGTAAATCAGGGAAAATAAGGTTATCAGTAGCTTCTGTTAGGATTAGTACATGTTAACTGTAATGTCAGAGACCATATGGGTAATATAGTGTATATTGCATACTTATAGTCATGTCTTTCTAGCACCCAATTTCTTTTGAAAACAGGCTGTTAGCTTATAAAGATTGGTTTAATCCAACGTTGCTCTTTGTAGTATTTTATTTATGAAGTATAATTCCAATCATTTAAACAAGAAATCCACACATGTCACAAGAATAAAGGGTCCATATTAGATTAAACCAAGAATTTATAGAGTAAGAGTGGCTAATCATTAAATGCCAGTCATTGGTAGTGGTGCCTTCTGATTTTGTTTATAGAAAACTGCATTTATTAGAACATTTATGATAATAATCAACTGGTATGATTTTTACTAGTTCGGATGAAGCTTGATTTTATCTATTGCTTGATGCATGCTTCTAATGGCATTTGAAGTCTAGTCCTTTTCTTTTTCCCCAGGATGCATTCTTTATGCATTTATCTGGGAGAAACTTAGTAAAGCATCAATTTAAATGTAACTCATTTTGATATTTGTAGGATTGTGTTAATTGGCTTGTTTTATTTAAACTGTTTTGGGAGTCTGTTGGTTGAAAAGGAACATTAAAAACATTCAATCAACTACTTTAGAGGTATTCAGAGGTGTCCAGTTCAAGGAAGAAAAGCCATGTAGATTTAAGAAACATGTCTATGTCCAGACCAGGCCTTAAAGTTAATTTATAAATGTGCTTTTATATTATTCATTAATAGTAAGAGGTAATCAGTATTGCAAATAAAGTATATTCTGCACTAAAATAAACACATCATTTTGCAACAGAACGTTTTCATAAATATAATATCAATGAATGTAAAATCATTTCCTTGTTTCTAGAAGTATTTTTATTGTGGATACTCAAGAAAGGTTTAAGCCTTTATCTGGGCTCTTTGGCTATTAAAACAGGTTCTGTTTGCCATTCCTATCCTCATTGCTTAAATACAGTTCTTCCACTTGAAGAATACTGCTCAGTACTACTGTTTAGTTCTGTGATTTGCACGACCTTTGTCAGTAGTGTTAATCCTTTTTCACATGAGAGACTGAGACCGGTCTTTCAGAAAAGTGATAGATTGCTTTTTCACATCAAAGGACTCTAACTTTTCCCTTTCACTGGGATTCCTGCAGAAGGAAAAGAAAGTCTGGAAATACAGAGAGATGCAAGAAATATGAAAGCCTGAAATTATCTCTCAGTCTCGTCTGGAACTAAGAATGATTCAAATTTGGGTGATTTAAAAAAAAATAAGTATGATTGTCTACCAAATTGTTCTCCTATGCCAATATTTTTCCAGAATGTGTTGGGTTGTTAACTTCTTTAAATATGCTGGCTGAGATTACTGGAAATTGCAGTCCCAAATCATCTGACAAATCTGAGATCTATAGTGTTTTCCCAATCTTAATAATTTTAAGATGTGTGCTGGCTGAAAGTTAAAATTGCCAAGGTTTAATAACAACGGTCAACAGATCTGAAAGGTGACAGCTTTTCCCAAATTATCTGGAAACACTAATGAAAATTTAAGTCAACCAAACCACTTATAAATCTGGACATTAATATTCACTAATATACATGTTACACTAAATCTTGTGAAATGTCAAAGATTGCATAAGTCTTAAATTCCGAAGTTTAGAACTTACACATTTTGAACTTATCCATTTTGACTTGCTCCAACTTTCTAACTGTAGGGAACATATTTCCCAAAGCACACTATCAATTGTAGTCAGAAATTTAGTTGCTGTTTCCTTTTAGAGGTACATTTCAACATGTGTCCAGTTCATGTATAGCACTTCCTGAATTGTGGAGATTGTTATCAACACACAAAAACTAAAATTCAGCTGAAAAAGCACTGGAAGGAAGAAGTTAAAGAACCTCTAAGTCCTGATAGAAAAAAAAAGATTAGTTATTTTCTGAGGACAACTGATTTAATTGGCAGGAATTTATATTTTGTTGACATTCTTTGTCAACAACTTTGACATATCCAAGTTGGAAGAACCTAAAAAAGTAAATTGAAGGGATGGGCTGTGGACATTTATTGCTCAAGAGCTATGAGTCATAAACCTAGATATATCTTATTAATGCTATTTCCATGGTTCTATGATTAAGATACCCAAATACACAATTTCAATTGCACTGAAAATAATATGTGAAACATTGACGATCCTGGAAACCATATAAAACCCCAAATCCTTTTATGAAAAGCACTGAAGACTTCTCCACTTCTGGCTGCGCACATTTCATTGTATGTGAATGGTTCATTGTATATAAATATGTTAATGCACAAATCAAAGTTCATAAGGCACTTAGAGGATCACTGCTCAATCTGCCTTCAACTATTTGCAACTACCTACCTGATATCTAAAAGCAATGAGGAATTTTTTTAAAAAAAAATCCAACCCTTGTTCAGTAGTGGTCTTTATAGGGAGTCCTTCACTTATGACAATTTATTTCTTACCAGTTAAAGTTAGAATGGTGGTGAAAAAAATAGACTTACAAATTGTGCCTAAAATTATGGTTATTGCATCACACCCCATAGTCACACAATCAAAATTCAGGCACTTGGCAGCCTGCCAGCATTTACAAATTCCTCCACTTGCCCATCTCCCACTATTTATGCCGCCTATTCTGATTTAATTATTAGTATTTTATTGCATTTTATCTTTCCAACTACACTAAGCTACACTGAGAGATGTTGATTGACCCTAAATGAAGTTACTGAGCAGATAGTTCATAACACTTGCAGCTTACCTTCCAATGGAGCAATATACCAAAATATAGGGAAGTATTGAGTTGAGTTAATTTTTTCTCAATCCAATAATTCTTTAAGGCAGGGATATCAATATGATGATGTCTACTTTACAAGTCTCTGCTATTATATTGTGGAAACTATTATCTAAAATATTTGGGGAAAGGGATGAGTATATCTCGTTAAAGTAATCAAGTAACACTGTATCCATCTCAATTGAGTATGCATCAGCCATAAAAATGGAATAGAATAGTTCAGGCCAGTTGTGTAGGGACAGTGAGTTCTTTCTACTTTAGAATTTTTCTACTTGCAAAAATAGCATTCAGTAGTTCTATAGATGATAGATAGATAGATAGATAGATAGATAGATAGATAGATAGATAGACAGACAGACAGACAGACACATGCACACACACACACACACCTTAAAGAAGCGGGGATGGATTTTAAAAAAGAAATGTCAGTGTTAGATCAGATAATTAAAAATTTGACCATTTTTCATATTTTTTCAAATACGCCTAATTAACTATTAGAATTACAGTTTTTGTTAGTGATTTCTCATGCCTCCGTCATGTATTACTGAATAGAGGAAAAAAACACAAATATTTTTAATGACTGCATGTGAATTTATCCGCAGTATTACCCATTCATTTCAAAATATAGTAACTTGCATTGAATTGCATTTTTTTTCATGAGAGCAGCAGCCATTCAGTTTTAAACTTCTAAAGCAGCAGAGGCAGCATTTATGCAACTGGATTTACTCTTTCCAGAGGCAGAAGATTCAAATTCTAGTTGAATCCAAATCAGGCACTTATAATAATTATATTATTTTATTTACTCTGCTCTGCTGTTATGCCAAGAACAACTGGAAATATGTTTTGATTAAATCGAAACCATTAAAACATAGTAAAATGTACCTTTTTGCCCATGACGACTGCTAAACTTGTCTCCAATTTCTGGGCGCCTAGTTTGTCTTAGCAATATTTTGATTAAAAAAGCATCTTCTGCATTGGAAGATATCATGACCTTTTCAATGTACGAATCTGTTGCACCTTTGTAACTAATGAACAGAAAATGTACATAGTTTAATTCAAGAAAAAAAGGCAGCTGAGTTTAATTAATACTAGACATCTACAAAACAACAGTTTACAAATTTCAATTTCAAATGACAATTTTATCATGCAAAGTTTCAATAGTGAAAGCAACTGCAAAACAGCTATAGGAACTCAGTAACAATAGGAATAGTAAATGAAGAAAAGTTTCTTTGCCCATTTAGTTTAAGAATGAACAAAAAGAATCCATGAGGAACTTGAATGTTACAAAAGGCTGAAACAAGTTGAAATCCAGCTTCTTTATAATATATATATAATGTGATATTACCAAGAAGACTAGACATTCAAACCCTTTTAGTAACTAGTATGCCTGACATGGCCAATTTCTATTTTCTTTTCCAGAACTAAACATTTTCTATTGGCTCTTTGTTTTCTGTTGCTTTTTAAACATAAAATAAGGTAGCAAGTCATACATTACTGGCACATCTTTATACTGAGATTGTTGAGATACGCTGCTCCCTTCCAAAGGAGTTTGGGTCACCGTGGGCATTGATTTATTCACAAGCACTTGCTTGTTTTCTACTTTTTCACCTGTAAGTATATGAGGAAATAACATGTTTACTGCCTGTTTGAATTATCTTCATTATCTTCAAATGGTGAAAGCGGGGTGGGGGTGGCACTCATCCAAGTGCCTTATTTATGCTCCTTGGAATCAACCAAGATCATGTCACCAAAATTTGGCAGCAAAGCACTGAAAAAATGAGGGTCTGATTTTCGAGAGGTTGCTAAACCATTTGGTATATTCCATGAATGTACATAATTAAACAACAAAGCTTTCCACTGAATCAGCTTACTATTATTCCTTAAGCTATGAGACAAAGGCTACAGATTTGCGATTGAGTTTGAAAATAGCAAATGAACAAAACAGTAGTTCAAACTAATAATTCTTATAATAATAAAGAAAACAATATATACCTGGAGAGCAAATGCCATCAGCATCTAAAATTTCATGCCGCCAAATTGGTTTGCGTGTTCCCGCATCTAGCATGGGCCCCATTACTTTATCAAATGTTTGATTTGTGTAACGCTTGAGAGTACACTTAGCATTTTTGTATACAAGGCACCTTCCAAAGCCTCAAAGAGAACAAAAATATTAATCAAAACTACTGTTAGGGTTATCTAAAATGAGAATCAAGACATCCATTTATTAAATATACTGCACAAATCCATAGTACAGAAAAGAGTTGCTTGGATAGTTATTTATGAAACAATGCACTTAATATGGCTGCAGTCCAATGGACCCTTTTCAAGCTATTCAATTATACTGATTTCATAATAATTTTAATCAGACATGAACCAAAATGTAGTTAGAAATGCAGTGGCTTATGACAATGAAATACTATGTCATAATAGTAACTTTAAGGTGTCACAAGACATTTATAATCTTTCATTAAAATTGTAATTTCAAAGGGGTCAAATCTTTGTTATAGCTACATTTCAAAAGAGCTTAAAAACACGAATTTGTTATAATAGGAGAATTAAATTACATGAATATTTCTGAAAGAACAGCATTGGAGTTTTTAGAATAAAGCATCTAGATTTTAGAACAAACTATCATGTAATTTAACAGGTTTAAAGAACAATAAAATGTAGCTGATATCTAAGTTCCAGATTTGTTTAAAAAGACCATAATTTAATTAAAGAATGATCTGGACTATTTTGTAAAAATATCAAACAAAAAAAATTAATTACCCGTAATAATTTTTGGTTGCAAGATTCCAAAATAAAAACAAATAAAAGTGCTGCATTTCTTTCATTAGCCCTCACTGGCTTAATAATTCCTAAATTTGGAAGAATGCTTCTTCATAAAATTTACTCTCTGAAAGTGTTTTTTCAGTTGAAGTTATGCATAGTATATCTGTACCATTTGGCCGTACGACGTAATTCTGGAGAGTATTTGATTTCCCCCCTAATGTTACTAGTCTACCAGAAAGAAAACATTTTGCTTTAAATCATGTCTGCTATTGTTTTAAGCAAAAAAGAATAAATTAAGTGTGCAGACATTAATGCCAAAGATACATGTCCAGCAATACTACTAGTGCTGCCTGGCAACTGGCAAAAGGGCTCTTAAGGATGGGCGAGTGTAGTAGAATGTACTGCAATACGCAAGCAGTCTGACCACACAAAGTAAACTCAGGCACCCACAATATTATGCCTCAAGCAGAGGAACTGTGTTTTAAATATGATTGATGAGGCAACACTAAAAAGCGTAACATCCAGACAAGTTTGTTTGAAATGAATGCAAGGAATACTCTTTGAAAAACACTGGATATGCTTTTCCCGAAAAAGATTTAATAGGCCCTGATTGGCATTGCAGCCTAATGATAAACTGCAAAGATTTTCGCTTTCTTAAAAACAGGTAGCAAATTTCTTATTAACCACATTTATTTGCTAGGCAATTTAACACGAATAAAACATTTTTTTTGGTCCAACTAATTTTTCCCCAAGTATCATCATAAGTCCTGATGGTATTCAAGGAATGCAGTTAGTCTTCGACTTAGAACAGTTCATTTAGTTTGAAGCTACAACAGCACTGAAAAAAGCGACTTCTGGCCATTTTTCACACTTAGGACTGTTGTAGCATCCCCATGGTCACATGATCAAAATCCAGATGCTTGGCAGCTGACTCGTATTGATGACGGCTGCAGTGTCCTGGAGTTCATGTGACCCCCTTTTGTGACCTTCTACGAGCAAAGTCAACGGGGAAGCCAGATTCATTTAACAAACATGTTACTTCCCTGATTCACTTAACAACTGGGGCAAGAAGGATCATAAAATGGGGCAAAACTCACTTAGCCAACGGCTCACTTGGTGACAGAAATTTGGGCTCAATTGTGATTGTAAATGGGGGACTACCTGTATTCATCTCTACTGAAATATCTAGAGTTCAAGTGGTACTGGTTTTCATTATTAATGAAAAAGCAGTATTTTGTAAAGCACAATTAAGCCAAATGTAAATGTTTCAAAGTCAGATGGTTAAATTATTTCCATTACAATAGTTTATTTGAAGTTGCCTTTAAGAAGCATTTTCAGCAGTAATTTCTCATTCACTCTAATTCTTGAAAAATTGTTATACTAGAGTTCAGTTGAGATGTAACTATAATCCATTATTATGTTAAAAACAGATTTTCAAACTCTACCCATAAAGTGAGCCCACAAAAATACAAGACAATCAGATTTTGAGCTACCTGCTTTTTCCATCACCCCAGTGTTCTTTTTTGTGATGCGGTATGTCAGCAAATGTGGTCTATTATTTCAAATATCACAAGTGTGGTTTATCAATTTAGATATCACACCAAATCAGTTTTTAACATACTGTAGTGAACAAATACACCTAATGAATCATGGCTTGTCAATTTAAACATCAAAATTGTGATTATTTTTATTTATTCATAGATGTGAATTGTTTGTATTGAGCTGAAGCAAGAGAAATAACTATCCTATTAAATAGAGACTTCTTACCTCTGTCTAAAGAAGCCTTGTTTAAAACCAGAGCATCCTCAATGTCATAACCACTGTAACTCATCACAGCAACCGTGGCATTCTGTCCAGCCGGCAGTTTTTCAAACTCGATGAGTTCTATTGTTTTTGTCTTAACCATTGGTCTTTGTGGATATGCTAACAGATACATAAGGGTATCAATCCTGTTCCTCTGATTGTAGCCAATGGTACCTGCAATTATAAACAAAACAAAATATCTTAAGCAAGTTTGGTGAATGCTTGATTCTACCTGCTATTTACAACATTAGCTACAAAAATGTGGAAAAATCAACAGAAATAGAGCAAATATTTTATGCCAATTATTTCCTTGGCGTTCATTTTAGCAGAGCTAATTAAGTGAGAATGTGCAATACCCAACTTTCTCCACACACTTTTTACATGGAATGTAAATTGTTTTCAGTGTAGGCCTCAAGCAGTTTTGAGCCTCTACAAGTTTTATTTAAAAAATCAATTCGTCTATAAATTATTCTAGAGTTAGATTGCAATTGCTATAGGTTTTTTTTTACTAGATGCTTTTGAGATCTGTAGTAATCTAGTTATAAATACAATTATTGCTTCAGTGTACCAGCCAAAATATAATGACCGTAATATTGAGATTCCTTCTTACAGCCTTGAGCAGAAAGTAATTCTTGAGGCTCCATAAATTGATAAACAAGAGGTACTAACTAAACAGGCAAATAATTTCTGTGTATCTGGAATATGATTCGTATTATCTCAGCCTCATTACTACCTATCTGATTACTCAGATAAGCTGCCCGAGACTTGTTGAAAGAAAAGTCTAATAAAAAAGTACTTAAGTGATCTTCTAACTTCTCAAAATACCATCTACAAATATGATTTTATTTGTATTTATACCTATTGTACACCTTCCAACATGTATCATCAGACTTTCAGTTCATCTGGTAATCTCGCTGTTATTTAAGATCCACTGATCCGCCTAATTTTTGCTAAGCCTCAAGAAAGGCATTTCTCAAGCAATGGAAGTATTCAAATAATCAGAATGGGGCAATGCTGAGTAACAAGTCCTTTCTTCTCGGCAGGGAGCCAAAAGACTATCTCAATAATCCCAAATTCTTGACAGCCCAGGAAGTGACTAAATGGACTTGAACATGTATCTCCCAGAGGACAATACAAAGACTGTTAGTGGCAGCGGGTGAGGAGGGACAGGCAGAGACAACCATAAGGGAGGACTGACACTTTTAAAGAACAAAAGTGTGTTGTGATGAATCACTGTCCAGACAGATTCAAAATAGCCAACTCATAAGTTAACAGCAGCAAATGTAAACCGTACAGATATGTCTGAAGTTAATTTGTAGCCAATCTAGGATTATACAAATTGAGCTTTCCATAGTCACTATGTCTATATCTGTATTTTTTTTTTTACACTGGAGCTTTGGATTGCAACTTCTTTTACCCTAGCCAGCTGGTGTTTATAGGAACTGCAGTCCCACACATCTACAGGGCACCGAAGGGAAGATGTTCAGAAGGGAAAAACAGTCTAGCCACTATTAGCAAATATACAGCACACAACTAGATGTTTAAAGCGTGCATGTTTTTTTTTTTAAATAGTCTTATTACGTCTCAGCTTTAGGACTGTACTTTTATCTCCTTGCTCATTCCTCAGGTGCTTGCAGTAGCACACAGAAACAAAGGCTTTAACAATAATTACTAAAGATATTCAGCAGCTTTTGTATTCCCATCGTCAGCAGCAACGTCAGAGGATTGTATCCAAGGAGCTAAATGTGCAAGACCCTGGGTCAAAGCAGCTGAATACACCAACCTCAGAAAACACAGACAATGAATTGCAAATGACACTGAAAACAAAATGAGAAAAAAAGACCTTCACACAGAAAAGTACAAAAGAACTCTACAGATTCTGAATTGGCTTTCTGTACACACTGATCCTGCTTAACTGTGTGTGGTAACTAACCAAACCTTCTGAGGCTAATAGTCCTAAAATAGATTCTCCTGGAAAAAGAAAGCATGACAAAGAAACAGGATGCAATTAAAAGAAAGGGATGGTGTGTAAAATATTTTTAAGATGCTTCTAATGTGCTGAAGGGAAAGAAAATGTATTAGATAGAAGTTTTGCCTATGTAAAAAAATATTATCTAAGATACTTTTATTCCCCCTCCCCCCCCCCCCTTCAACAGAGAAGCAGCATTATTTGGCTATCTATTATAGTCCCTGAATTTATATGACCACCAGGAATGACACCCTAACTGAATTTCACAGTTAATGTTTTAAGCAAATTGTAATGACAGCTTAGGTCCACTGAGAAAAGCCTCACTGAAATAAATGGATGGCGGTGAGAAGGTTCTCTGCCATCAGTTGCAATTGCTGCAGGTGTTATTTAAGGACCGGTGAAATGTCTTCATAAAGCATTTATTTCGGGAGATGGAGAACAAGCCAGGTTAAAGCTACATGGCAACATGTAATTTGCAAATAACAAATTGTACGTGATAATTTGCTTGCCCTGGTGAAGAACTGGAAATCCATGTTTTACACAAATGTGTAACGTATAAATAAATGTTGTGCAAAATATTTGAGCCACACAAGCTCAAACAAGTAAAGTATTGGTCATCCAATTCTGAGACTGCAGCATTCCCACAAAGCCTTGTGTACAGAAGTCCCATGCCCAGCTAATGTTTCTGCTGGCGATGTGAAGCAGTTATGTGCCCACATGTGCACAGAGACAAAAGACTCATGGGAAAAGATTTCAAAGCCCTGCATGACAGGGGGGTGTCCTCAAAACTTCAAAAGGAGATGCTTTGTTTTTGGCAAAATGGTTTACAAAGCCCCAATTCAAATGCTTTACAGTGTCTTAATGTAAATTAACAGGTATATGTCCATATTAGTTGTAATGTATATGGGCCGTAGGGGCCAGCAATATATAGATTTGTGCAAGTGACCCTCTCTTATGCTTATTTAAAAGTGGCAAGGAGCAAGGAAATCATTGCTGAATTGAAACAAAATGAAGCAAAACAATCAAAACCATCAAAATAGATGACTAGTTATTTGTGTGTTCACTTATACATTTTATACATATATATATACACACAGTTTTCCCCAGTATTTTTTAGTCCAACCTATTAATATAGATTAATAAATACATATTAGGAAAAGTTTGAACCACTGAACAAATTATAATATATATATTTGTAGAAAGTACAACAGGGCTATGTGAATTTATTTCTTAGTCCTGAATTCTGGAATCCAGTTTTAATAATAAAGCTTAATAATCTCTGTTAAGAAATAATAGTTGATGAATTGGGGATTTCCTGTTTTTTTGAAAAGGAAGTTATAACTACATTGCCCTAAAAATAATATTGATAATTTAATGTTGATAAATGTAAACAGCATGTCACAAAATATATTTCATCCATTTTTTATCTTAGTCTCTGAGTACATTTCTAATTTTGTTTTTCAAAATAGGAAAGCATATAGAAAGTTGTGCCAAAAATTATGGATAAAAGGAGAAGGCACACGTTTTCAAATCAGGGTATCAGAAAATATTTAACAAAGCTGAGGGGAACTGCATCTGGGATGAATGAAATAACTATTCTGATCTGAAGGCACAGAAGTCTTACCCATAGCTTGCTTTCCCATAGCACACTGGTAAGTGTTTCTTGGAGACTGGTTATGATGGGGATATGGAATGAGACCAGCACAGACTCCAAGAAGAGTAAAAGGTTCAATCTCCAAGTGTGTTGTCTCTCTAATAAAAGGAAAAATATATAGCTAGTTAAAATCACATGGTTACATACTGAAAAGCTGGACCTGTGAAGTAAGAATGCCCCCATGGCTTTCTAGAAGTAGGTGAAAACCGAGCTGTTCTGAAAGACCTTTGGACATTAATTAGATCCAATGGTACCGTACTAAACAAACAATGAGTTCATCAATTGTACTACCAAATGAAGAAATAAGATTTTGGATTTTACTGTTTTAATTAATTATGTTACCAAGTCACATAAACGTTCTTGAAAACAAATGTTAATAAAGAAAAGAAACTTCTTTTTATATGACATCTGTGCATACAAAATTTCATCTTTTTTATTATTAGAATATATTCCCAAGAATATTAAATGTCTTCTTGATCCAATTTCAGTGTTACAATACAAAAATTAGGTTTTAATGATGCCAGAATACTTACTTATTGATTGTATGTTCATAGAGTGCAATGTTGCAATCATTTTCCTCATTCACATCCAAATATTCAACAAGGCTTTCATGTAAAAAGTCTTCAAAGTTCCTGAATATAAAATATTTTTCTAGAACAATGTATATGGTCACATAATTCCATGTGCAAATGTGCATAAAAGATAACCAACATATTCTAATACAAAGTGAAAACAGGATTTTTATATAAATGAATTTGCACACAGATTTCTACCTTAAATAGAGTCCAGAATAATTGACCCATTTAACTAAAGACTCTGACTTGCAGTAGCTCTCCAGAGGTTCAGGTAGAGCAGACCTGTCAAACTGGCGGCCTGTGGGCTGGATGCGTCTCACACACAGGCCACGCCCACCCCAGCTCCGCAAACATGATACGTCACAATATGTCATGTGACACTATTGAGTTTGACACCCATGAGGTAGAGAATTGACTGTCCTGGAGATGCTAAGGACTGAACCAGATTTGGTTTCCTCAAGGTTATGTGCCTTACTCATTTAGCCAGGTGCTTCCTTCTTTAACTTTTGTGGTGCCAATGAATACATTTGAAATGGGCACTCTTACCACGCTAATGGAATAGTGGGTATGGTGATCATAAGGCACCCATATACTGAATGGCAAACAAAGTATTGGATTGCAACTACCCACCATGTAATTTCTTAAAGAGATGGAGAAGGATGAGAAAGTGTTCATTACAGGAAATAGCCCCTCTGTATTGAAAAATGATCTCAGAACACAACTGCATCATCTAACCACTATAATTTTTTACTTCAAAGAATGAAATGTTTGGCACCATCAACCTATTAGCTAGCACACACAGCTGCACTAGCTAATGAGCAGAATAGCCTATACAAAAAGCCTGTCAATCAAACCCACGTTTTTGCTAACAAAGAGCTTGATTAGCCAATGTGTGAACCAACCCCTCCTGAAAACCCCTTTAGTCTAATCTACCTGCTGGCTAACACGGAGCTGCAATAGCCAGTACATACATGGCCTGATTGAAAACCCCACTGCCTCAGTCTATATATTGGCTAACATGACATGCTGTTAGCTTATTTTTTGGGGGGTGGGGGTGGGGGTGGGGGAAACTTGCCACCCCAACCCTCCCAAACTGAAGCAAACACAAGGCATGTTCTCCGCGGTGGGACAAAATAACCAGGCGCCTCTTTGTTTTCTCATCCTCAGATCACTAGCTCTGTACAGAGATCCAATGCAGTTGAAAACACTGCAAATGCTTACATCAGCCCTGCTTCTCATTTATTTAATTATTCTTAATTAATGACATATAAAAATAATTTGGTGGAGGGAAAATTTACTGGTTCCAACTAATATCATTTCATGAGTCAGTTTGGAGGCCCAGACACTGAACAGTAGCTTGTTGATGAAGAGTATAGAAGTATCTATGCTTAAATACTGGATTGCAAACATAGGAAATACTGTTTATTCTTATTTTTATGAACAGATGGATCCTGATAAAGAAACCAGAATAATTTGCTGAGTTTGTTTACCTATAACCTTGTGCAAGTTCTTCCATATGCTTTTCTGTTACAGCAGGCTTTTGCTTCTTCACAATAATATAGGGTCTAGATCGTAAGAAAGTTAAAACGTTATGTATTTTATTAGATCTGCACGTACTTTCCATTGCCTCTACAAAGATATTCCCAATATAAAACAGGAAATATCACACAGGAATTATATTCATCTGTATGGTGCTTCATATTAGGCTATAAAGTTTGAAAGGTAGATGAACTTAGAAGGCTGTACCTGCAACTCAGTTATTGGCATTTATTTTCGGTTACAGAGATCACCAGGAGGCATCACTGGTGATCAATGTACCTAAAAACACAATTCAGGACAAACCACACAACTGTGTAAAAGTAGAAAAATTGCCCTTCTCACCCACTAATGTGTATGTAAATTATGAGAATATGACACAATGTAACATCTGTATTATTCTGTATTAATGTGCTCTAACAATTTAACAGCAGGTGGGCTATATATACCATTCTGACAATGTTTTGTGCTTCTTTTCTAATATATATGGCTAGCATATACTGTATTATGGCTAGGGAATGCATAATACGTCTCCATTTAGCCTTTTTATCAATGACTGCAATTTTTTTTAACATTAAGTAGAAAAATTATATATTTTAAAGAGGGAATGGCTATAACCCATTTTACTGTCACTTATTTCTACATTTAATAAATTAACTTTATAAATTTTAAAAGTATAAATTAAATGTGAGTGGATGTCTCTTGAAGGAAAGAGTAGTGTTTTTTTAAAAAAAGGAAACAACATAATGTAGAGCACTCTATGGGACGTAGTTCAGAACAGAGCACATGGAAGCCAATTATTTTATATCACTACCAGTTCCATATCTCTGAAAGATCCTGCTTGAAATTTGGGGAACCACATCTTTCAGTATTAATAAAGCTTGTCTCATTTCTTAGCAGAGCTATTGGTTTGTCTTTGTATAAGGGACTATATGTTTTATGCTGATTCCAAACAAACTTGAAAGAAAAAAAATACCTATTCAAAATTGGTTCCAGAAAACCCAGAACTGAACTTCCACTGTGATTTACCTACTGATAAGCCCCTCATGAACTCAGGTTCAGGTGTTTGAACTTCCTCAACAGGGGGCAATTTCTAATTTCAGATTACAACTTGATTTAATCGATATGCTAAGCTATTGATTAAAATGCTAACTGAATGATATATTCAGTTAATTCATACCAATTTGCTGCTTGGTGGAAACACATTTATTTAGCTTACATGATAACAATATTAAACCTACCATGCCACGGAACCAAAATAAATTCTGCAGTTTTCAAAGCTAAAAAATAGCTTGGAAAAAATAAATTATTGCATTATTTTTTAAAGTTGATTTTTTAATCATTTCTGATTTTTAAAAAATTAAAATTAATGCTTTAAATCAGCAACCTAACCTTTCAAAAGCCTTTTTATCATAAACATATAAGCAAAGTTACAAAGAATGGCATGCCCAGTTAGATAGACATCAAGAGTTGTTACTATTTGCATATAATTTCCAGTATGACCTAATTCCCAGTATAACCACAATATTCCAGTTTAAGAAATCAGTTTAAGAGCTAATTCCTGCTTTCAAGGTTGAAATGGAGATCCCAATAACTACAAAAGGATTAAAGAATAAAATCACAGAAACATTGAAAAATTAAATAACACTAATCATACAACATGATGGATACTTTTAACTGCTGACATGTGCATCCCTTGAGTTCCAATTTATATGACAGGCTTGTTGGTGAAGAGCCAACTGCTTGCCAATCAACTTGTGGAGTGCACGTGTGTCTAAAACTTTTTTTTATGAGTGAACTGAACAACTTATTTGGAGTGGAATATTCTGGTGCCATGGTCTGGGAAAAGCATATTCAAAATTCTTACCTACATAATCTTCCACCATCACTAGAAATATAGACACATCTGTCTGCAAGATTTGTGGAGATTGAAACAAATTCATTGATATAGCCTGCTCTACGCATTAGTCGGAATGTATAGACCAGTTTCTGATGATCTCGAATGACACCAAGGATGTTACCTGTTCAAGCAAACAATTAAACGATTCTGTAAATGTTACCATCATTTCAATGGATAAAGCCAAATGTTGGCTCTCTATGGCAGGGATCCCCAACCTTTTCGACGCCGCGGCCCGGTTCCGGCGTCAGCTGGGCGCCGCGGCCCGGTTCCGGCGTCAGCTGGGCGCCGCCATCTTTTTTTGACGAAAAATCACTTTCGGTGACGTCACCGGAAGTGATTTTTCGTCAAAAAAAATGGCGGCGCCAGCGCTTCCGGTGAGCTTTTTCCGGTGAGCTTTTTCGGCTTTTCCGGCTTTCTACCCGGAAAAGCTCACCGGAAGCGCTGGCGCCGCCATCTTTTTTGACGAAAAATTGCTTTTTTTACCAAAAAAAGATGGCGGCGCCCAGCAACCAGCGGCCCGGTAAGGCTTGTTCCGCGGCCCGGTACCGGTCCGCGGACCGGCGGTTGGGGACCCCTGCTCTATGGAATAACAATCCAAGTTGTCATCAGCATAGTTATGAAATATTTGATCAATTTCTATTCTGTCCTGGGACATAAACATGCAACAATTAATAGCAAAGTCAATGCATTTTTCAAGAAATTATAGTAGGTAATTCCACTGGATTTCTGCTATAATTTGGATTTGGATCAGTAATTCCTAAAAATGAAACGGTAGTAACATTTAAAGCACTGAAATAAAGTGATGCAAACCTAAAAAAGAACAATTTTCATGTTCCAACAAAAGCAATTTTATTATCCTTTTGTTGATATCATTATTACTTATGGTCTCTCTTAAAAGTTAAAAATTATGTTTCCTGGTAAAATCTTGCTGGGTTGGAACTCTCATAATTATAGGAGAGAAAAAGCTTTATTTTACCCTTCTATTATTTCTACACATTTCCCCCCAATTGGTATTTTCCAGATATGAGGGATAGTAACTTTTAACATTCCCAATCATGTATGTATATTTTTCTAAAAACAATTTCACACTGTATCAAATGCATTTTAAACATTTATTGAATATTACCTGGGAACATTTTGCATGAGAAACAGCAGTATTGGGAACAATGCACAACAATTGTGCAGAGACAGATTTTACTATCTCACATCTTGCTCCTGATTTCTCAACAGGGTTATGGGATTATTTCCTGCCATAACTGCATTTAGGTACTTTTTAAATGTGGAAGTTGGGTTTCTAAAGCTTTGTCTCATGTCTTAATTAACATAAAAGCTTTACAATCATCCCCATTGTATGAAAATCATATCTCTATAATGAAATACTGTATATTACAGATTTATAAAAATTGGCTTCCCCAATCAACACTTACATGTAACTTTAAATGTTGCATTTATGCCATGATGAATCATCAAAAAAAAATGCAAGTAGTATTCTATTTGGCACACATGCATTCTACAGTTCTCAAACTTTGCATAATGCAGTGTACTCACAAGAGGCACCATGGGATATTTTAAATTCTCAAGGGAAACAGTGATATTCAACATTGGTCAGATACCACAAGAACTACTAGCTTGGAACAGTTCAGTTTTGGCTTAGCAGTGTTGTGAAAAAATTACTGAGATTCTAACTGAAATGACAAAGTTTGCGAACCTTTAACTGCACTGTTAACATATACAATCACACATTAAAAAATCTCATTTTCTGAAAAATTACCTGATCAAGTCTTGATTATTATGAGAAGGACATACCATTTATACCAATGTTTAAACTTCTAGTAACCTGTTTCACTTGGATTAAAAGCAGTAACATACCATTAAGGAAAACAAGAAACACGTTTGGATATGAAAGTTCCTCTCCACACAGAAGGTTTACATCTTCCACTCCAAGGTTACCAGCTAATTTAATAATAGGGCCATCTTCCATGTCAGTAGTAATGTGAGTCATCAATGCTAGGTTTTTAACCAAGCCACAGGCCTGACGAAAACAGAAATCAATTAAAAAATTAAAAAGGAAAACAAGTATATAAAATCAATTCATATCACTAAAATACTAAGAGATAAATTTAACAAACAAATATGTTATCATGTATCAGATATATTAGTATGTGATTTTGTGCAGTATATAATGTCAATATTTATGTTTGCAATTTTAAGATGAGAAAAGACAAAGGCAGTACATCCATATAACAACCTATAAATTATAACATAATATGACAAGGGGAAGTACATTAACCCAATGGAACTTACCTCTCCTTCAGGAGTATCTGATGGGCACAGCATTCCCCACTGAGATGGCTGCAGAGATCGGGGCCCACTCACTTTCCTGGTCTTTTCAAACTGAGAAGAAATCCTTGTCATCATCCCCAAAGCAGAGATATAGGACAAGCGTGACAAAACTTGAGTCACACCCTGTCGATCCATCTTGAATCTCTTCAGTGACCAATTCCCCTAAAGATAAAGAACCGTGTAAAACTGGTCAACGCTTAAAACAACCTTTTACATTTCTAAACAGTATCAGTTTGGAAAATATGGTAAAACAGCTCCAGATATTCATCTATCAGGAAAATCTAGGGAACCTATTTGTATAAATGATAATAATCATGCTGTCATTCATGTGTTGAATTTCAACATGCCAAGATTTTGCTGCATTTTTTGATCAATTGTTTGTTACAGGGAAATTTCTCAATTGCTTAAAGTCCATTTCAATTTGTATTTGGCATTTTGATACAAGTACTAAGGTGAAGAGATACATAAGCAAGACATTTCTCTGTTGGTAAACAACTGGAATGGTTGGAACAGCCCAATACATTATTTATTTATTTTAGGATGCATTATAATAATACATTTCCTGGACAGGATCCAGATTTAAATCACAGAATCGTAAAGTTGGAAAGGGTCTTTTAAAACCATTGAATCCAGTTCCCTACTTAGTGCAAGAATCCAAATTAAAACATGAACAATACACTTCCCTTTTCTTGATAACTGGTACCATCGTTAAACTGTACTTAACTTCAGAAACATTTAAAAAAAATGTCACTCAACTTAAAACTATAATATTAAGTCCGGTACACTGTTATGAAGAACAGTTATTGCAATAATATAAGAACACACCAAATAAACCAAAGTAGTTAAAGACAGACTTTTTTTTTTAAGTGTTATAACGTAAATTAAGAAGTTTGAAAACAGACACTAATCACAAATCTTTTCTGATAGCAGAAAGATAATAATCTAGATGCTAAGTTGTTCTGTTTGGAGTGAACATTTAACAATTATGTTGCCACACCTAAAAAGATCCTTTTTACTTAAATCAAGAAATTAACTGGATCTGGTTCTTTGCTCACATTCTCAAGAAGGACATCAAACAAAATAGAGACAATGCTTTAAACACCTCCATCAACTGACAGAAATATACTGTACTGATAAAGGAGAATATTTTTAGCTCAGGGCTGAAATGATGGGTCCTTGGTGCTTTCTTGCAAACATTTCATTACTCAAACTAGGTAACAGCATCGGTGATGATATTACCTAGTTTGTATAATGAAATGTCTGCAGGAAAACAACCAAGCTTAGAGAGCACCAAGGGCCCTTCATATACTGTACTTTCCAGATGATAGAAACCAAAAATGGATGAACTGTAAAATAACTTACACATATAACACAGCAAGTTACTAACAATTCTTCTCTAAACAAATCCAAGGAAAATTTTGAATTAAAATTGGAAAAAGAAGCACTATGCGATATGACAACCTGTAATTTGCACTTAATCCTATCACTTGGTTCATGGTATCTCAAGGCTGTCCATCCACATGAAACACTTACGGTCGAGATGGCATTCACCATACCGTTGGTGATTTGATCTTGCCGCATGTGCTTAACTACATCAAACTGGGCCGCTCTTTGCTTGGGAATTACTTGGTCAGCAATTTTCTTCAACTCAGAGTTGAATTTTTTGAACAAGTCTTCAAATAGAAGGGACAGAAGCTGCAACAAAATTTAAAATAATTAATTTACAATCCAGGAAATGTTAAAATAGAGCGATGTTGCTATAATATTGTTTATCCAATATTTAGGAAAGGAGAAAACAGAGGGTCCTTCCAATTCTGTGGAGTTTTAATTATTCCATATCTAATAAATTCCTTCCAACTCATTTTACTTTTTAAAATTTGATTTTCACTTTTTTAGTTTGTTCACTAGTTTGCCCATTCACATGCAGTGATTTTTCTACTGATACTTTTTTTTTTTGGGGGGGGGGGGTGTATTTTTATTTAAAGCTATCTAACATGTTTCCCAGCAAGGTAGCCAGAGATTAAACACTGCTTTTCATTCTCAGCTTCTTTTCTTGTCTCTAGAAAACAGCTCCATTTCAAACTTTATTTTTTACAATTCTAATTGTCAGGAAGACTAAAATACAGTTGCTAGTGCATGCCAAAAATGCAAGTTCCCAGTATACAATACATTGCTAAGAACCAAACAAGCTAAGTATTTAAACAGTCCCTGTTAAGACATTCTGGAATCTATTGCATAATGTAATTCCTGCAGGGAATGAGTCTGTTTTAAAACTGTCTCCATTTTCTTAGAAGTATTAGCAGAACTCTGCCCCTTTTGGCAAAAGGCCAAGCATCTACTTTGCTGTCCAAATTAACATTTACACTGATTATATTCATCATGTTTCCATCATTGTATCCCTAATAGTTTATTATAGAAAACACTAGCTGATAAAGTTTCTTTTGGTTCAAAATCTAGATCATTTTGAACACACAGTAACTGAAATGCTTTACTATTAATGGTGCATATTCTAGATTTTATAAACTGCACTCTAAAGTATAACTTTAAAGAAACAACTGTTGCAGGCTGTTATTACTTTGAGTTTCTCGTAACTTCCAAGTCTGGATATCACAATATAAATGACAATAAACTATAAGTGATTATTTATAATCGTAATGGCATCATACAATATATTAGCAGAACGAAACTTTTCATGTTTTACAGTGAATTCAGTCACTTAAGTGGCTGTAATATCCAGGATTTCAGACAGAACTATTTCCCAGTCCCACTTGAAGATATATCATCCACTATATAGAATATATAATAAACACTCTATACATTTTACTGACTTTGAAAAGGTTTCCAATAATCAGTAGTATTTTCTTTCTGTTCTAATCTATTCTAAGAGTAACTTTTTTTGACTTTTGTTTGTTCTAAAGGGGTTTATTCCTAAGGGCATGGCAAAGATTCATGATAGCCTATTTTTGGATCGAGCGTAAATGATTAAACACTGAATGGAATGGAATCCCAGCAATAATAAGCATTAAATTTTCATTGCAAGCATAAGGCCTTTCAAAAAGAGGACTGGGAAGTAAATTATACCCAAATGTGGTTGAGGGTATAAGGGAAAGAAGTGACAGTTCATCAATTGATTTCCACGGAAAATCCTGAGGAAAAAAAATTAATAAAGAAGTTAAGCTGCTGAAATAGAATTTCACCAATTAGCTTAATGTCAGAGAATTCTAATTAGGCTCCTTGAGATTGCCATTTACTGTTTAAGGCTTTCGAGTGCCAAATTCTCCTTTTCACACAAACTGGTTGCAAAATTAAAGACATTAGGCAGCCTTAATTATATTATCAGAACAGCTGGGATTAGTCAATCTCTGAAGTCAAGACGGTTTTCTTTTGTCATAGGGTAGAAATCCTTTCCTTTCCAGGGTGCCGGATTTTGGTGCTGTTCCATATCTCACCCATACAAAGCAAGCTGAATTAGAAAGAGAGAGAGAGAAAAAAAAAATGCCAAACAAACCCTGAGGACAAAGAGGAGGGAAATGCTCAGCAAATAATGAACACATTAAGGAAAGAGAAAAGGTAGGTGAAAAGATTAAGCTTGGAGTCGGTAGGTTTTGCTAACACCTCTGCTGGCACCTGGCCTACCAAGCCTCTTGTGGGCTGAAAAAATGAAGAAAAAGCTCTGTAAACCAGCTTGGCTAGTGGAAACGACTGTTATCTAAAGCTAAAGCACATTTCGTGCTCCCTTGTCCCATGGGCTGTGAAATTAGCTACTATTGTTTTCACACATTTTTATAGACACAATACCTTTTATGTCTTCACATTGTGCAGGCTGCTCTGCTTTTCTCCTAATACAGGATCAATCCCTTTTCATTCAAATTTTTAAGCAACTGAATTTTTAGCCCAGAAACACTGCCAGCTTTTTAAAGGATGAAAGCCATTTAGACAGAAACATTAACTGAAAACACTGAGTAACAGGCTTAAAGTAAGGTGCTTCATTATTTTGCAGATATAATGTAGACATTATGTTAATAATAGCAGAAAAACATCTGCAAGATACATTTTTAAGTTACAAAAGTATCATAAATATTAAAATAATAAGGCAATAGACATACTTAACTATTTATAAGACTCTAACTTAAAATCATTGTATTTGAACATAATTGTGGCAAGTTAAAAATTGAAACTGCTATAATGATTTGTAGCTAAGCAATATCACAAGAATAATCTAATGAAAGCAAATTACAGTTGATTAATTTGCTATAAAGTGGAGGATTAATCAATTAAACACATAGAATTGTACTTTTTGACTAGTATATTTTTTAAAATATAATAAATAGTAAAGAATTTTATAGTATGTTTCTAAAAAATTAGAAGTTACTACATGAAAGGTAAATAACGCAGAATTCACCATTCAGCACTGCTAAAAAGTTACCGTATATACTCGAGTATAAGTCGACCCGAATATAAGCCGAGGCACCTAATTTTACCACAAAAAAACTGGGAAAACTTATTGACTCGAGTATAAGCCGAGGGTGGGAAATGCAGCAGCTACTGGTAAATTTAAAAAATAAAAATAATTAATTTGGGAAACGATCTCACTATCATGAAAGGTTTAATTGATTCACTAACCCAAAAGAAGATGATGACAGCGGGAGGCAGGAGTCACTCTCTTCCCCTCCCCTCGGAAGCCCCCTGAGTCAGGAGTCGCTACCGCCGGCGCAGCCCCAGTCCCACGTCGCCTCGGGAAGGGAAAGGAAGAGCCGCGGCAGCGCTTTGCAACAGCAGCAGCGGCACCGGAGGCTCAGGCTCAGCGGCTCCTGGTTTTGCCCCACCCTTCCCAAGGCAACGCGGGACCGGAGCCGCACCGGCGGCAGCAACTCCTGACAGCCCCAGCCGGACACCTGAGCGGAGATGTAGGGAGAAGGCAAAAGCGACGGAAGATCCTTCAGGGGAAACTGAGGGGGAGACTCACCCTCGGTCCAGATGAGCCCCCTTCCCCGCCCCTAAGGAAGCAGAGGCAGCCAGCAAGGGCAGGCAAGCCCCACTTCACAGACTCTGTCCGTCCTCGCTCCCACCCACCCAAAGCCACGAAGTCCCCCAATCGCGCAGCCCAGAATCGCCCTCTCCTCAGGGGGCAGCAACGACGCCCGGTTTTTCCCGAGACAAGAAGCTCCGCCGTGCAATGAAAGCGCCCTGGCTCTAGGCTC